AGGCAGGCGTGGAAGGATGAAGCCATGGGCTCACGGACCCCACTGGGGCTGGGTTTAGCCTGGATTTGTACCTGTCTCATCCACAAGAGGAACCCAGGCCTCCCTCTACATTCTCACACTGGTTCAAGAGGAGCAGGACACCTGGACTGGGCTGCCCGATTCCCTTCTGATGTCTTGATTTCCAGGCAGGGCCCTGGAGGAGAGACCCTCTATCCCAGCGCAGCACATTCTGGAGATGAACAAGCCACCACCCCCAACCCCAAGGCCAAAATCAAAACAGGAAATAACTTTCCTCTGGTCTCTACTGCAGAGCTCCCTGCCCCCCAAGACAGTGGTTAGTAAACAAGGGCCTGGGTGCACACTCGGGCAAGAGACTCCAGCACATTCGAGCGTGTGGGTATGTGTGCCCTCCAGCACACACAACTCCGTCCAAGTCAGCTCCCATTCTGCCTCTCTTGTTCTGATCCTGAGGCCAGTCCTGGGTGCTGCGCCACTCCGGGCCCTTCTGATGTGGCTGAGGGTTCTCCGGGGCCTTGGAGAAGGTGCTCTCTTTTCCCCTCCACAGGGAAACCCTTCCTCTGGCTGCAAATGGAGTGAAGAAGAATTCCTGCGCCGACAGACAAAAGGACAAGGGGAAGGGAGAGGATGGAGAGGAGGAAGGACCACATCCCAGCACTCCCTCGTTTCATTCTCAAAAGAATGCACTTTCCCCCATTTGGCACATACAGTGACAGAGACAGAGACAGAGCGACTTGTTTAGGGAGAAGGAGCCATGCGTGTGCGATCACAGGGCAGGAGGCTGGGCAACAGCAGACTCACCTGCAGCCACGGAGACATTCAAGGACCCCAGTCCAGGAGGCAGCCGCCGGCCGGGTAGGACGGTAAGGGCCAGTTGGCAGGAGGCTTGCACGGCCGGGGACAGGCCCGAGCCCTCGTTACCTGCAGGGCACGGATGCACAGGGGTAAGGAGGCCACAGCGGGACGCGCAGGCGCTTGGGACATGCACATCTGAATGCGGAAAAGTGGGGACATCTACCTACCCAGCACGAGGAGAGTAGGCCGGTCCCAGAGGAAATCCAAGCAGCTAGTGGTGGGGATCCCAGAGGAGGGGGACATCTCAGGCCCTGGGCAGCCCACCGTGCCAGCCACGAGCCAGCCCTGCCGGGCTTTGGCCTGACAAGGAGAAGAAATCACGTTCTAGCTCCCCAAACCTTCATCAGAGCCCCAGGCGAGGAGCTGGACTTGCCCATATAGTCAATCCCTCGCGGATCCACTCAATTCAGTCAACAGTTATTAAGCCCCTAGAATGGACAGGCTCTGTTCTAGGCTCTGGGGACAGGGCAGGGAACAAAACAGGCCAAAATTGCAGCCACCCAGAGGAAGGGTGATTGGGGTGGGCCTCCCTGAGGTGACACTGGAGGGCAGAGCTGAAGGGTATGAAGAGTACCATGTAGACATCTGGGGGAAGAATAATCTAGGCAGAGATGAGTAAATGCAAAGGCTGAGAGGCTGGTGCTTATAGGACATGTGTGAGGAACGGCAGACCGGCAAGGTGGTGGCCCGTGCGGAGGGAGCCGTGGGGACAGGAGAGGGAAACAAAGTGGCCACCTAAGGCAGGACCTCGAAGGCCACTGGAAGGACTTTGGCTTTTACTCTGGGAGAGCTGTAAAGGCTCTGAAAGGTTTTGAGCAGAGAAGTAAGATGGTCTGACATGCTTCAACAGAATCACTCTGCCGGCTGTGTTGAGAGCCAATAGCAGCAGGAGATTGGTGAGGATGTTTCCACAATAAGGCAGGCAAGAGAGGATGGTGTCCTGCACCACGGTGGGAGCTGTAGAGATGGTGAGGATTGATGTGAATACAAAAATAACTTCAAGGGAGGGGCGCCTGGGTGGCTCAGTTGGTTAAGCGACTGC